AGAGACATCCATTTGTCTTATTTTTATGAGATGATCCGGTGTGAGAATTACTTATGTCACATATTATCAATGAGTTAATAAACACAATTAATTCGTTTGTAACAATATTTTTTAATATAATCAATAATAGACACGTGAAGCTCTCCTAACAAATATAAATTTTAAAGGCAAAAGATTTTATACTCCCATAAGAGTATATCGTTTATTCTATTTAGTCGCTTGGGAAAACCCAATATAAGAGTAATTTTAGGAACCCAGCTTTTGGGATGTAACTTCTTCAAACCACAGATTAACCTCAGGAAACAAAAAAAAGAAGAGGAATTTGAACCCTTTATGTACTAAAAATGATACAGTCTCAAGATTGAATAGAGACTGTCTAATTTATGATGGAAGGTGGATTCCTCTGGGGTGGAATCCAGAAAACGTGAAATTTGAATATTTTTTTTGAAAATAATCATATAATGATTCAAGGTGGATTCCCAAATTTCAGACTGAAAAAATCCTCTCATTCAGGCCATTTGATTGAGGGAACAAATGCATTGTATGCTCTATGGGAGATGGAGATAAAAAAACGACTTCTTCATAAAATCCATCACGACTTAATGGACATTATGGTGATGAGGATGCAGCTTTTATTTTAATTCTAAACATTGCTTTCAAATCCTTTGAAATCTTATCCGAATATTCCAATGTTGGCGTCGGAGTTGAAATGGCCTTCCTCTATGGGCGACCATCCACTGTCAAACTTAATGATGATCGATTTTGACCTCTTCAAATTGTAACTGAAGTCAAGAGTGTAACATAGAGACTTCAGAGGTTACTGCACTTCAAAATTAAATTAATAAAATAGATAAAATCAAAAGATTTTTTGCTCCTGTGAAAGCGAAAGCATACTGTTTATTTGCTTCCTCAAGTAATACCTAATTTAGGATGATTTTGAGACCCCAAAGTTTGGGATGCAACTTATTCAACTTAGCGCTTAGCATCAAACAATTTTAAAAGATACGGTTGTTGGGAGTCCTTCATATGTAGATATGCGTCCCCTCTTACCTAAGATGAATTTTGGACTCTCATATACAGTTATGCATTCCCTCTCATTTGAGATGGATTTTGAACTTAAGTTTTTAGTTATATATAAGCCCTCTCTATTTTTTGCCCGGTTATTTGGTCTTAAGAATGCCGGTTTAAGAATGAGTGATTGCATTTCTCATACCTTTATTGCCCAACAAGAGAGCGGACAACTAATGCATTTTGAACAGGGTATATGGTCGGTCTGTGATTACTGCATGGTGAAGGCATCCTTGGGGTGAGGTGATCTTGTAGTTTCTATGGTGGAGACCATGGGGTCGGCCCAAGGAATTTTCTTCCTTTTGTCACATTTCGCTCAAAGGGAGATAGTGCATCAAGCTGTTGACAAGGGTTGAACTTCTTCCCCATGGATCCCAATCTTCGTCCCCATGGATCCCAGTTTTAACATGGAGATCATTAATATGTAAAATAAATAAATTTTTAAAACTAAAAATGGAAATTTTTGAAGAAAAGTTTTAGGCCGTTGGTTTTTATCTTTTTTAGAGGGACCACAATGGCCTGTTAGGATATTGATATCTCGGGTTCA